CACTTTCTAAATCATTCAAAGTATTGTCGCCTGCATATACATGGGATTCTTGTATGCAATAAAAAAGGTCACTGAAACAGACATTCCAAAACAATTGAACAAGCACACCTTCTGTGGAACACCTGCACCAGTAGGGTGACTTGTTGATTCTGTCCTTTTCAGAACTACTCTTAGAGAAAATTTTGAGATAATCACTAATGAGGCATAGTGCAGTGCCAGCGATTCCTAGCGCTTTCAGTTTTGCCAAGAGTTCCTGGTGCCACACTTGCTCGAAAGCACCAGCAATGTCCAACTCACCTTGGATTCATCCAGTGATTGGTGCCGGTTAGTGGAGAGGTTTAAGAGCAGATGAGCAGCAGAGAGACCTTTTCTGAAGTCATATTCACGGTCACAAAGAAGTGAGTGGTAATCGAAAAACGCTGTCATCTGCCTTGAGATTATTGTCTCAAGAATTTTGCTGCTGACTGATAGGGGTAACATTGTTCTGTAGTTGCTAATTTCTGCTCTGCTCTTTTGGTGAACAGGGGCTATTTTTTTCTCTCTCTCTCTTCTTATATCTATCTGTCTTTCTATTCATTTGTTTCTGTCTCCCTCTCTCATTTACTCAATGCCTTTCTTCCCTAAACACAGGTTTATCTTACACCATTATTTTTCTTTCACAGCATTGTTAATTTTTATGTCATTACCATGAGCGAAGAAATCTCATCTGAAGTCAGTTGTCCTGTTAAATGTTATTCCTTCAACAGCTGGAGCCTTCACACTCCTGGATCTATGAACACGACTTGGTTTGGAAGCTAATTTTTGTGTACTGTGTGGCCTAGTTTGCTGGTAGTTTGTTTTGCTGGATAATTTCCAGGTGCTCCATGCATTCACTCATCTTGATGGCACAGACAAACTCATGTGGATAAAATATAATAGATAAGAAAAATTCTGTTGGATAATTCTTGTTGTTTGCTCGAGTCATTGGGCAGTTTTTAAAAATCATCTTCCAACACAATTTTTATCATTAGTTTAGGATAAATTTAAAAATTTAATTTGAATATATATATATATATATATATATATATATATATATATATATATATATATATATATATATATATATATATATAATATATATATATATATATATATATATATATATATATATATATATATATATATATATATATAATATATATATAATATGCAAAACAACCACTGTGAAAGAATAGAGAAGTTCCAAGAGCTCTCGTGACTACTCACATAATCAAGGAACAATAAAAGTAATTCATCAAAGGAAGGCATATAAGAGGTCTAGACCACACCTCACTATCACATCCCACTTTCACAACTTTTTGAAAATCAATTGGATGGTTATAATCTCTCACATGAATAAATAGAGCACTGGAAACTTGTCCAGTTCTAATGCTATATTTATGTTGTTTTAATCTTAGTTCGAGACTTTTACCAGTTTGACCGTAATAAACTTTATCGCAAATTTTATAAGGAATCTTATAGACACATCCATCAGCATTTTGGGGGGAATTCTTTATCAACAGTTTTTTTTACTGTATCAAGATTTTTAAATACAACTTTGATATTAAAAGTTTAAAAAGGGAAAGAATAAACCCAAGTTTTCATGGTAAGGGAGAACCAACTTTTTTTGTTGAAAAAGGCTGGTTGCCCCTTTTTTTGGATTAAAAAAAGTATTTCTAGCAATTTTAAAAAGATTTATAAATTACTTTTTTGGGTTTTAAAACATTCCTTTCAAAATTTTTTGGGATATTTCCTCATCTATGAACTCTGGGCTACAAATACTAAACTCTAAAAAAACTTGATGAAAAAAACAGCAGTTTAATCTATCTTGATAAAAATAATAGTGAATGGGAAAAATTTTTTTGTATTTTTTCTGTAAATTTTAATTTGAATTCATTATTACCCTTAATAATTTAAAACACTAAAAAGGCAATGATTTTTTCTTAAAACTAAACAGTAAAAGTTTATAGAATTGGCTAAGCTATTTAATTTCCCAAGGAAGGGTGATATTACATTTTTTGGCATAAAAAAAAATATCATCAACTATCTGAACCATTTCTCTATTAGGGGGGATTTGGTTAACACCTTTTTTTCAAAAAATTCCTGTATAGGTTACTAAACAGGTGAAAGGGATTTCCCATTGCCATACCAAACTTCTGAGGGAAAAACTTATCTTTAAAAATAAAAATTTTTTCTCAAAAATTAAAAATTTAAAATAAGTTTATGATAGGGGAAAACTGGCAAGGGTAAACTTAATTTAAGGAGTTCTTCAATAAGAAACTTAAAAAGTCATCACGGGAAACTTTCGTAAACAAGGAAGAAAACACAAACTAACCATGAAAAATCTTTTAAGCATTGGATTTAAATTTATCAACTAAATCTATTTTTTTAACATAAAGTTAGAAAATTTTACCAAAAATGGGGCTAAAAATGTCAACAACCTTTTGGGAAAATTTTATATAAACGATCCTAGGACTAATAATTGGTCTGACTGGATTCCCTGTTTGTGTGTTTTTATTAGTCCATACTGAAAGGTAAAGAGGGAATGGAATAAATTGTTTGATTATTCATCGGCTTTCAGTAGAAGTTTCATTGTTTTATTGAAATTGCTGTTAAGGTTTCTAGGGATTTTTTCTAAGTTTAGAATAGGTTTCAGCATCATCTAAGTTATTATTAATTTTTTCTTGGAATCATTTTTTTTCATAATTATTATTCATTTATTTTTGTGCTTTTGAAGGCCAGTTTTTTATTATTTAATGAATCATAAGACTTAAAGAAACTTTTATGGGAATTTGGAATTTTTTTGTTTAAAATAGACTTTTTCTGCCTCTTACTAAAATTAATTTCATAGAGGGTAAAACAGAAAATTTTTTTAGTTTAAAAAGCTTTTTCAATTTCAACATTATTGGTATTTTTGAAGTTGCAAACTTAGGGAAAAACCTAGAGCAGCCGTTGTATTTTTATAAAATTTCATTGATAATTAAATTTCAAAATTGTTTTAGCATGCTTTTTTCCAATCACATTTTCAAATTAAATGTCTAATTTTCTTTGGTTTTTTTTGAGCTCATTTCAAATTCTTCTGAGTTTTATAACAACGATCCAAATACTGTGTTTCCATTTGATGGGAAAGGCCGATTAAAAAAAATTTTTGTTTCTCTTTTTGAATGCTTCCTTCTTCCTTTTTTAGTTATTTTAATGTTTCTGAAGAATCTCAAAAAAATTTAAAAGGACGTCTCTCATGTCATGGAGTCTGTTGGGGAAGAGACTTGGGCAAAAATTTTTCATTTAAATTTTTTATAATACATTTTACAAATGAATGTTTTTTCTTTGTGGGTTGGCTGTTGCGTCTCAAATACTTCTTAGCAGAACAGAAAAAAAGCCCTGAAGCCTCACTCTCGTTTACAAACCGGCCGGGCAATCTGTCATTTCAACAGAGCCCCGTGCCCCTCTTTTATCCACTTCGTTGCGGGGAGATGACACCTACGCAAAAAGACTGCAGCAAAAAACACTACCTCTGGTTTGGGCCTTTCTCAAGAACATACTACATCAAAAAAATTTTTCATTTCCCAAAAATGACCTGAGCAGAATATTTTTGTGCGCATAATAATTCGATGAAATAAAAATCAGCTAAATTTAAAAACTTGGGCCCCCAGAGACTCCAGCTTCATCCTATTTGTATGTCTCATAACCGAGGGGGGGAAGGCGGGGTGGGGTGGGCCCTGGAAGGGTTGGGGGGGGGGGGGTTAAAAGGAGGTTTGTGTGCGGGGGGCTTGGTTCCGCGGCTGCGTGAGCGTTTTTGTAGGAGTGAATGGAGACAAAGGGTTTTTTAATACTTGACTGGTTGGAGTGTGAGAAAGTAACATTTATAAAGGGGGATTGGGGAAAAACCCGGCAGGCCGGTTTGAGCCCTGGAGATGGGAAGTACAGTGTGCATCTGAAGGAGGGGTGTTAATGTTGCAGTTTAAAAAACTGTAGTGTAAAGCACCCTTCGGGCAAAGACGTGGGGAGTGAAGGGTAAAAGTTTTTCTTTTTCGGGCCACCCTGCTTGGTGGGAATCGGCCGTGTGTTAATAAAAAAAAAAAAAATTTATATAATAATATATATAAAATTTTAATTATATATTTATATTTTTATATTTATATAAAATATATTTAATATATATATATATATTTTTTTATATATATTTATGCAAAACAACCATGTGAAAAAATAGGAAGTTAAAGAGCTCTGGACTATCACATAATAAAGGGAACAAAAAAAGAAATTCATCAAAGGAAGGCATAAAAGGGGTCTAGACCAACCTCACTATACATCCCCTTTTCAAATTTTTTGAAAATCAATTGGTGGTTTAATCTTCCTTGAATAATAGGCCGGGAAACTTGTCCATTTCTAATGCTTTATTTATGTTTTTTTAAATCTTTTTGGACTTTTCCAGTTTGACCGTAATAACTTTATGAAAATTTTATAAGGATCTTATGACACACCCCATCAGCTTTTGGGGGGGAATTCTTTATCTACAGTTTTTTTTTTACTTATAAAGTTTTTTTTAAATAAACTTTGTATTAAAAGTCTTAAAAGGGAAAAGGGGATATAAACAAGTTTTCAGGGTAAGGGAGAACCAACTATTTTTAGTTAAAAAGGCGGGGTTGTCCCTTTTTTGGTTTTTTAAAAAGATTTCTAGCAAATTTTTAAAGTTTTCAAATTTCGTTTCTTGGGTATTTCAATCATTTCCTTTTCTAAAATTTTTTGGATTTTCTCTTTATGAACTTGGGTCAATACGTAAAGTCTCAAAACATTTATGAGAAAAAAGACAGTTTAACCTATCTTGATGTGAGAAATTTGTGGAATAGGAACTTATTTGTAGGTTTTCTGTAAATTTTTAAAATTTTTAATTTATTATTACCCCTTTTATTAAAACTCTGAAAAAGGGAATGGTTTTTTCTTCAAAATCAACAGTTTAAAATTTTTAGAATTGGCTAAAC